TGAAACTGTTTGAAACTTCATAAGAACTTTCATAAATGCATGTAGTTTAAAAAACATAAATCCTGTTACTTTTGATAAATTTATTTTTTTAACATTATGATCTTTAATATCTTAGAAACTTACATTAGGAAATGGTATTTATAAGAAATGATTACAATATTTATATTTGTTCCAGATTTGAGCTTATTACTTTTTATGTTTTGGTACATTATTTTAAAATCCCAGAAAATTTTTATCATCCACGAAATGCAAATTATATCTATTTTTTAATTTTTTAATAATCACATGCTCTCTACTTATGGTTTCAAGTTATATACAAGACCCGAAAATAATATTTCTAAGTAAACCTAAACAATAAATGAGTATTTTTATTTTTAACTAGGATTTCATGTTTATATATGTATATAAAAAAACATTTTAATTTTATTTCATAAATGTATTTTTATTTCAAGTTTATGTTTATGTTTCATTGCAGCTATACTTTTGTTTATTGTGCAGAATAAATCGTGAGATTAGCAGTGTGAACTTTGTACATTTGCCATAAACTATCATGCCTGTTGGTGGTCACTCTCGTTCAGTTCAGCGCAGGTGCATTTCAACATTACTGTAGATATGATAATAAGAAAGCTTTTCGGTACTTGAATATCATTTCTTTGAACTTTCAAACAAGTTTATTTTCAATATATCTCCTTGTATGTTGTTTCACTATACAGACAAAACTAATTGCCACTACTAGCAAATGTGTGTAATGCTAATAGTTTACAGTACAGGTGGTTTGAATAACACCGTCTGACCCTAGTTACTTGATACATCCTGTCAGAAGAGATTACCAAATGATACAGACACCATAAACTACAAAGAAAATTACTTTACAGCGCTTAAAAGATTAGTCCTAGTCACATTCCTCTCATTATAGGCAAGATTTATGTTTGGATTCGAAACTTAAGCTCTTCAGTGTGTTGAGACCCGTACTGTGAGAATGTCATAGGTTCCCCTGTATTATTGAGATGAATGTATTTAGTCTGTTTCACAACAAACATATGGGTTTTATTGTTGTCACTTGTACACCGAGTTTTAAACCATTTACAAAATATCAGAATAAACTTTATGTATATCAGTTACTGTTTTAATTCTAAAGCAACAACAACAGAAGTGTGGGTCTTGCTACAAAGTAAAGATTGTAAAAAGGAAAAATATAAAATTCTTATGTGGTACTGGTACTTGTAGTATTACATACAAATCACACAA